GCCGTAATATTTGCATAAGTTTACAAATCGTAAATCTTACGCAATACTTCGCATTAAAAATATTCCTGATGTAAATGGGGCAACACGCTAGAATTTTCCATTAGAATTTGGCACATGCTTTAGATCAGATACACTGACAACCTAACAGACAGTCATCAAGAAATTATTTCGATAAAATACTAGCTGATTAAGCAAAATAGTAGTGGTAATCGTCAGCTCAGAAGATTTTTTAGCTGAGCCACAAATTGTGCGACAAATAAATTGATCCTAATGCAGATTTGTGCAATAGAAGAGATTTCTCACATATCAAGCAAAAAGAAATTATATTAACTTCCTATTCTTATTTTTTTTTTCAAATAAATGTGATCAGAGAAAGAAAAAATGTCTAGTTGCGACACAAGATCTTTTCTATAAGTTAATAGTACTGATAAAAGTATATATTATGAAAGGCTAAGGGACTCATAATTCTAAGATTGTCAGGTATAAAACTAACTATATGTTTTTCTGGTAGATCTACATGTGAAAAGGTATGAGGATTTAGTTTATATATGCTTTCATAGAGCTCTTAGCATCATATGACAATGCTAATCACTATTCTTATCTCCTTATCTTTTTCCCAGTAAGATATAAAGTATGTAGAGGTATGTAAAAGTTTAGTTAACTTTTTGCAAAAAATATTCCTGTAAAAAATAATGCAAATTAAGATATGTATAGTATATATTCTTTAATGTAAGTAAACTAAGCAATTTTCTCACTATAGATCTTGTATTTAGAAAAAATAAAATAATCAAAATCACTCTCAATTGTCTTATCATTCCTATAGGAAAACTTATGAATATTTCTTGCGTTAAAGTAATGCAAGTGATTACAGTTGAAAAGGATGAATATTATAGCTTTCTCAAGGCTATAATTTAAAGCAGATTGGAGGTTGACATTCCACTCAAAATATGTATAATTCAAGTCAGAAGCAATAATGAAAAAGTAATAGATAAGTGTGCCAATATTTTCAATTATTTTACTGAGAAACCTAAAGCAGAACACTTTCATATCACTGTTTACCCCTGATCAGAATAAATATTTATATTATGTAGCAATATATTCGCATTTTTTATGTAATAGTTGCTTCAGCAATGTTTTTTATTTCATAAATAAAGTATTATTATTGTTATTTTATTGAGAAAGTGGGTCATGTAAAATGATGCAATGCTTATATGACATAAAAACTATATTAATGTCTAGTATTTTCTTTCTCAAACAGAAATAAATTTTTATTTTACTTCAAAAAGTAACACTATTTTTTTATCTGACTCAAATATCCCTATAAAAGCGTTATGTCAACTATCACTCTCAGTTGTTTGATTATAGGAGAAAACCCTTATGAAAATGTTTTCATAGTTGATATTGAGATAAACAAGTCTATTAGCAAACTTAAGAATGCTATTAAGAAGAAAAAAATACCTGAGTTTGATAATTTCGCTACAAACAAACTCAAGCTATAGAAGGTTGGCATTTCCTTCAAAGAAGAAATGAAAAATTTAAGCTCATCAACACAAAAATAAATGTTAATATTAAGGAGGAACTTAAAGGTAAAGAAATGAAACTACTTTTGAAGATTAGCAAATATTTTACCTTTTAGCTAGTCGACGAGCATATATATATAATCGTATAACGTTCTGTTGAAATGAAAGAAGTTCACTACACTGCAATGTATAGACGTAAGTCAGAGAAATTCTTGTGGGCTATAACTCATGAACAAATAACCTTGTCAGCTTTGAAGACGAAACTTCGAACTTGTTTTACTTTTCCAGACAGAACTGAGAACGAGCATATTATTATAAATTGTGAGAGCGAAAAGGAATGTATTCATTTAGTAAATAATAAGAATTTGGCATGTATAATCTGATCTCAAGAATTCAAAGTTAACCTCTCAATTGTCTTGAACACATGTAAGTAATTTTTAATATTAGCTATGTTTATTTGTTATATTTACGTAACAGATACTAACAGCTTTAATCTTATATTTTCATAATAGTGTAACAATCATTCTTCTCGTAAAGGTTTGATAAGATGAAGTTACTCTTTGGCCTAAAAGTAAACGATTATAATAAACTACCTACTTTTGCTGGAGGTGTTAAGGAAATACTAGAAGAAATCTAAAATTTAGTTATAGGTGAATTTTTGAAATTACACAAGATATCCTAACATATCATAAGTGCTAATGAAGCCATCTATTATAAATACCGTCTAACACTACCTAAAGTATCCCCTTTAAGCATACTTCACTTTAAAAGATCCAGATATTTTATTAGATAATAAAAAATTTTTTTATTTTAGGATCTGGGTATAATTCAATTTTAATTATGAGTTTTGTATAAAACCTGAATATTTTACATAAAGTTTTTAGTTTTAAAATTTAGATTGCAAAATTTAATAACAATAAATAATATATTATTTTTGAGTAATATTTGTTATTTATTTATAATTTGATAATACAAAATTATTGAATAAATGCTACAGAATTATAAATTTAACATACAAAATTATTGAATAAATGCTACAAAATTATAAATTTGACTAAATATTATCAATTTCAGTTTTGGATTACAT